GGAAGGAAGGAAGGAAGGAAGGAAGGAAGGAAGGAAGGAAGGAAGGAGGAAAGGCAGGAAAGGCAGGAAAGGAAAGAAGAAAGAAACCTATAAGATTAGTAAAGATCTTCGAAATGACGAATCCTGAGTAGCGCTTAGTGAGTAATCACTTTTTTCTACTGAGTGATCTCTTCAAAATGGACTTCAAAAAGGACGTACTGGAACTCTCCCAAATACCCACTTTCTTATTTAGAAATCACATGTAAATAAATGAAAAATGAAGATAAAGGTATAATTGCCCACAACACTTATCACTTAACTCTATGAACACAAAAGGAGTCATTAAATAATAAAACTTCTAATCACTTCAATGTCAGGCAGACATTAAGGACCATAACCAGCAGAAATCATCACTAAAATGTGGAAAGGCACAAACATAACTTCAAAAACAGAGGAATACAATATACAAAATATTCAAACCTAAGATAATAATAATAATAATAATAATAATAATAATAACAACAACAACAACAACTTTCAGGAAAGGCCCATAATACGTTTATTAGTAGCTATCACTTAACAGGTTAAAGAGTTATTTTTATATCCCTTTGCGCACTTGAACATGGCTTCTAAACTTTCTACAACGAATGTGTACTGTTCCTAAAGTAAGAATAAAAATAAAAGGCAAAGGAAAGTCGGGACTAGTTAGGCAGAAGAAGTGACCCAGCAAGAGGGAGAAGGAAGCACATGGGTGCATATGATCAAGGAATGTCTGTAAGCACATGGGACGATAACAAGGAAACCCATTATGTTGTATACTAACAAAATTAATAAAAGGAGAATGCATATCCAGCTACAAAAAATTTAACATTTTGCTGGGGGGTTTTTGTTTTGTTTTGTTTTTGTTTTTTGTTTTTTTTCTAGTAAAGTCAAGCCCAAATTGGCCAGGCTTATAGTCAGGCCCCTCTTTTCTGATTTCATCTCATCAACTTGCTTGTGTGTCTAATCAGTGACCAACTACAGTGCTCTTCAAAAATATCCCAAGCGGTTGCCAAATGCGTGGACCATGCAGATTCCTCTGGTGTTCCTCAGTCAACACTACAGCTTCACTTTTTCCAAGGGCTTCGATCATGACATATGGGTAGAATTCTTTGTAACTACTTCAAATATTTGTGATGGTTCAAGCCAAGCACAATAATCAGACAATTATTTAGAATTTGTCTCCGATGAAGTCAGTCACAGACATTCAGAAGGAAGATCCTTCTCAAAAATGTACATTATCAACATTTGTTAAATGAGTGAAAAACAATCACTAACAGCAGCTAGTATTAGTGGAAGTTTCCATTAAAAAAAAATCTAAGCGAGTGCATCACACTTCATTAACTCATTTCATGCTCAGCCTAGCCCTCAACTTCACAGATGCAAAAGACTCATTCTCAGGTAAGTTAAGCATATTCCCAAGAAATAGAGACAAAGTCCTGAGAACTAAGCTCAGCTTTATTCAATATGCTATACTACCAAACTTCTGAAAAAACCCACTAAAAATATTTTTACCAGTTATATTTTACTAATTGATAGGATCACATGGAGCTAAACTAAAATAATGTACTAGGCTATAAGAGTTCCTTTTACATATAGTTCAGGATACAAAACAAAGAAACTTTCTGTTAATTCTCACAGTCTAAGTAATATCTTACCTGTATAGGACCAGCCAATCTCTTCAACAAGTTTTCTCTGTTGTCTGTAGTATCCATAAGCCCAGTCTAGAACCAAGAAAACCGCGGTGATTAATTTGCAGGAAAAGGTGTCTAAAACTTAAAAAATTATAAATTGTCCATACCACAAGTGGTTATTTTTAATATTCTTTATGTCACCCTTGCAACATTTCCATTCATCATTATCAATATCAACAGCCCTGTTCTGGAGTAGTTAGTGAAAACTGTAAGTAATACTTTTAAGGAATGCTAAAGTTTATGCAGAGACAGAGCAAAGTTCTCAGCAACATAGAGGTTAGAGGCATCATCACAATGAAAGACATGGCCAGAAAGGACAGCTTGTCTCTGAGTTCAAAATCTAAAACCCTGTCGCTCGAAGACACTTGGGGTTTACAATCCAACACACAACTGTAAATTCTTAAAAGAGCCTCACTGATTATCTTGTGTTCCAATTATTTTTTCTTCTAGCATAAGATGAAGTTAGATGTCTTGAGGAGATTGAAATCTTTAATGTATGAAGGAACGTGATAGGGAGAGAGGATGTGTTAGACATTGTAGCGAATTCATCCCCTGAGAAAGGGAAGTACTTGGGGAGGTAAGGCGTGGGAAGCTTCCAACATTGTGAAAGTGGCAGATGCCTCATGGCCCCAGCAGAGAAGTTCTGGGGAGAATGTAGCACACAGTTCATAGAGAAAGAAGATGAGCTATAGCCTCAGATCCATTCTCTGTAATTCAAATGTACCTCAACCTGTTTCAGCCTTCAGGGATCAGGGCTCACGGTGCTAATTCCTGTGCCCTAACCCTTAGTTCCCGACTACAGGAATACCACTGCTTCATCTCCAGCCTAAGTAAGAGACCTCTGCAGGCTGTGTCTACCTCATCAGTGTAGCTCACAGAAAAGTTTCTGTTTATGCAGAAAAGACCGCAGATAATTTTCCAATAAACTTGGGAAACATTACTCATTTAAAAACAGGATACTGACTGTATAGCTCTCACCTGTGTATTCACACATATATGCACATGATATATTGATGTTTTTCATTAATTGGTAAGAGTATTTCTTATTCTTATTACCTACTCTCCTGTGTATATGCATATGGCTAACATTTCATGTAAACACAATTATACAGGAATGATTCTGTGATCAGCCTACTTCAAGTCACGTAATGTTTTCAAAGCTCCTACATGGTATGCTTGTACCACAACTTTATCCAATTTTACCACTCAAACATATTCCACTATAGGGCAATCAAGACAGGTTCAACTCCCTCCCATTGTCATGACTAAATGTTGACCAGCTGGTCCCTGGTGCTTGGTTCCTAACCTTTGTTGACTTAGACTATAATTTTACTGAAGAAATGCTGAAACTTTAATATCTCCCTCTTCATGTTGAGATACAGAAATCTTTTAACAGCCAGCCCAGAAGTTCCCTTCTCGAGTACTGGGAAGCAGGGCTGAAGAACGCAGCCATCAAGGGAAAGGATATCCTTGTTTTGCAGAGTCAGTGTGGGTACTTGCTGCTTGTGGCAAGCACTTGAGTTTATTTTTCCCATGAAAAAAGTCTGTTAACAGGCACTGGGGACCTACTGCTTTCCTCGGATGTCTTTCAGGTCTTTCGCAGCAGCTCATTGTAGCCCTTAGAAAACCTTAAGAGCTGAGGTTAGATTGGCTCTGGCTTTTCTCTTCTACCACAATAGCTTTGAAAACACTGTTTCTAGAATGTTTAAATTTGCCTGCTGAAAACTGTTTTGAAAACCTACAGATCCTATTTTATTTCCCTACTCATCATCCAATGGGTACTCGGGTGGCACCCATTTGGGATGTATAATGAATAACACTGCTGGGAACAGTTGCATATATTTGATTTGCTACATGAAGATGAGATTAGGTTCACTGTCTATTGTTTAAATCCAGTTCTCTTAAAATGACAGTTATGTAGACTAATTTAAATGCTGAGGATAAAGGAATAGGTACAACTGGGTATTGGAAAACACCAAGAAATCATTAAGCTGTAAGAATTTAGGGGAAAATTTTCTGTTCATGATGAGACAATTATGCCAGAGAAATAGTTTGTGCATGCAATCATGAAAAACAAAGCACTAAGGCCTAGCTTCTGCTCACCGATTAATGACTTTACTAGGCACTGTCCCTGGAGGAGGATCCTTGTATAACTTCGAGAGAAGTAAAACAAAGCAAAACCATGTAAGAAGCAAGAGGTCTGCTAGCACAACTGAAAAAAATCTGTTATAGAGGATTGATTGGACACATGATTTGTCCTAGCAATCAACAGGACGTTTCCCTAAACCTTTGAATCCACACCACAGAAATTATTTTCTAATCTCGTATGCATCTTAAATGTATCGTTTTAAATGAATTAGGTATTTTCATGACATAGGAGCATTTTTATGACTTACCACGACCAGATACCATGCAAAAACTGTGCTCAACCAGTGTTCCTTTGAAGTAAGTGTGACGATAATCCCTTCCTTTAATGGCTCATTACAAAGAATGAGAGCAGACCGCGAGCCGATTTCTGGCTTTCCTTATAGGACTTTATCACCGTACAATGACTATTTGTCTCTGGTTTCTAATTACATACATTAGGAAAGCTTTCTCAATACAGGATTCCCAGGTGTTGGTATCCCTCTTCAGCTCCTTTATGTATGGTTTCCTTAATTGTTACTTCAAACAAACCCGGTACACATTCATATGCTAATTACATAGACCTTGGGCGTGAGAGAGTATCCCACTTTAAAAACTGCACTCAGAGGTCTGATAGATGAGATGTGATAGCTCCAGTGAACAAGGAGAAAGGGATGAGGCTCACTTCACTTTTTCCCCCTGGCATTATATAGACTGAAAGCCAGGAAATCCTACATAAAGTATGATTTATCGAAGTGCTTAAGCATTTGTCATTCATTAAAATTATAAATTATAATGTGGTTTCTTTTTGTGTGGATTTTAGTTTCTGTAGCTTTGATGTTTTTATTTCTTTTAGTTTAAATACCTGCTAAGTCTGTGTACTGGCTAGTTTTTTGCCAACTGTACACAAGCTAGATCAGAGGAGGAAAACCTCAGCTGAGAAAAAAAGAGTCTCAGCCCTAACCCCTACATTCTGTTTAAATGTGTATTGTAGTGATAAGAGCAGGAGAGAGATTCTGAGGAAGTGTACATATGAATATATGTAAATGAATATGTACATGGGTGACGTTCTTAGGCTCCTCTGAAATTTGTTATGAAAAATGTTTTCTTTAATGAAGTGACTTTTGAACTTCCTTTAAAACTTGCAAGAGACTCAGCTTATATACTCTCGGGCGACTTTAAACATTCATTTTTCAGCCCATTTCATCTTAGTCATCAATGTAAGGGGCTCAGTGGATAAAGGCACTTGGTACCAAGAATGATGACTGAATTCAATCCTGGGAATTCATATAGTGGAAGAAGAGAAACTCCTTCAAGTTGTCCTCTGACCTCTGCACGTGGGCCATGGCAAGCACATAACTCCCACAGACAAAATTTTAAAAATTAAAAAATCTTTCAAACTTATGTAGATGAAAATAGAAATATACATATAAGCATACACACAATTGTGTATTTATTTCTCTTTATACTCATGTAAAGGAAAGTTTTACTTTATTTGGTAATTACTACTGCTACTATTTTTTCTCAAATTTTAAAACCATCTCTATTCAAATAAAAAAAATGACATACTCATTTCCTACTGAAGTATCATAAATATTTTAATTATAAAAACACTTCTGATTGCAAGTTTATTCTAAAAAAAGTCTCTGTTACATCTTGATCAGTACGTTATCATCTGCCTCCAACTTCAGATTGTAGGACAGTGTTATGACTGGACATACAGAGATATGCTATACACATATTTAAAGTCATACCAGTGTCCAGAATATGAAAGGGAACAGAAAAAGAAAAGAGGAAAAATATAACCACAGATAGAAATTTGAAGTTTAGTATTCACAATTTCTAAAGATGGGGCTTGCCAAAGAAGAAAACAAACATTTCTACATCTCATAGACTTTAAAGACATCCTTAAGGCTCTGCAGCAGAAGGAGACTAAGAGACTGTTGATGACGAGAATCCGGAAGGGTGGGGAATTAGCCAAAGAATTAGAATGAGTTTTGGAAACTCTTGAGAAAGGCTGACAAGGAAAGCCATGAAGAGAGGGACTGCTTGTTCCAGCAGAAGAAAAGGGCTGAATATTGGGAGTGGCAAACCATGGAGCTTTCCAAAAGTTGTAGGCTCAGCCAAACTCTCACACAAATCTGCACGTCATTAGAGACATGTTCTTGGGAATATTCACCAGGATAAAAGTTCATATCAAGGTTCCCAATTTTAATTTTCAGTTTTTTTTTTCCTTTTCCTCCTGGAATTTCTGATTTACTGGAAAGAATGAAGTCTTTGGGTTGATGGAAGTGTGTTGAATATATTTCGTGTATGAGTAAATGTTGATGTATATCAAAAAAGATTATGTAGTGACAAGATAAATATTTTCATCTGAAGTGAACAGGGTTTTTAAGAGTATGTTTGAAGAAAGTTAGCTGACTTGTAAAAGCTTGAACAAGAGGCCAGGAACCTTAACACAGTCTAGTATCACCACAGCATAATCCACTAAATATTTTGACATGCAGATATTATGCAGCAATGATTTTTTTTTAAGATTGATAGTGACAGCAGTCATAACTACTGTCACTGAAAATAAAACAAATCTCCTCTTTGAGGAAAACAATAAAATAATATTCGAAACAAGAATTTATGGAAAGACTCCATTTGTGATGAAAGAACGTCTATGGACAAAGCAACAGGACTAAAATCTTCTCTGTGGTAGATACTACATTTGCATAGCTGTGACCGAATACCTAATAGAGACAAAATGATAGAAGGAAGATTCTTTTTAGCTCCTGGCTTCATAGCATTCAGTCCATGGCTTCTTGGCCCCACATACATGGGAAGAACATCATGGCTGTGGGAGAGCACGGAGGGGGAAGGTATTCTCATAGCAGGACAGGAAACAGAGAGACTGGCAAGGC